ATAACAACGGATCGTATTGCATTCTTCATCTCAAAACCAGTCAAATGTCAACAACAAAGAGAAAACAAAGAGGATTCGATAAGAGATAAGGAAAGAGAAGAAAAGAGACAAGAGAAGAGAAGAGTAGAGAAGAGAAGAAAAGGGAAGAAAAGAGAAGAGAAGAAAAGAAAAGGGAAGAAAAGAGAAGAGAAGGAAAAATAGAAAAAAAGAAAAGAGGAGAGAAGAAAAGAGAAGAGAAGAAAGGAGAAGAGAAGAAAAGAGAAGAAAAAACAGAAAAAAAGAAGAAAAGAGGAGAGAAGAAAAGAGAAGAGAATAAAAAATAGAAAAAAAGAAGAAAAGAGGAGAGAAGAAAAGAGAAGAGAAGAAAAGAGAAGAGAAGAAAGGAGAAGAGAAGAAAATAGAAGAACAGAGTAGAAAATAGAAGAGAAATAAGCAAAAATAGATTGCGTGAAAGAGAGATCTTGCATTTTACTGACGTTTCATCATAAAAATATGTTAAAATTAACTTTATAGTAAAATTGTATGGTATTCTTTGATCATTTAAAGATTTTTGATCATTTAGCATTTGATATTCTGATATTTTAGCCAGATAATGATTTCAAGGGTACAGTTGTGAATTGGACTTGGTCATCTTTTCAAAAAGAGGGTCAGTCCACCAGTGCAGCGACGTCTATTGGTTCTCACGCAATATCAATAAGAATTTTGCACATTGATAATTCAAAATTTAAACTTAAAAGGACTGTAAAGGAAAAATGAAAGGGAGTATAGAAGGAAACCTGAGAATCTCAGACTTTGAACGATACATATAAGATATCTATCTGATATTCCTTTCTCGAGAAAACTGTGTCAAAATTATACGAAAATTCATATATATACAATTTTGTATAAAAATAGTAGGTTTAAACAGATTATATACAGCAAATATTCAACCAATCTAAAGACGATTACATCCCACAGGAGCCTGAGAATCTTAGGTTTGCTCCTATTATAATTTTTTAATTTCTATATTGCATCTTTAATAGATATCATTAATAATATTATTTCTTATAGTCCGTATAGCCTGTATTACGTCACCATAACTCCAGCCAATGGCAGTGTAGTATACTGGTCATGCCTAATTTCTGTCTGTAAGTAAGACCTTTGTTCTAGAACGAGGAACAAACGAATAAAAAAAATAAGAACAATCCCAGCCCTAAGTCTGTGACCTGTGAAAATTCTGTTTGTTTAAGACCTCCAAATAGTTCATCCGACTTCTGTATTACGTCAAACCTAGAAATATAGAAAGGAACACTGCATCAAATTCTATTTTCCATACCTTATATTTGTGCAACTTGATGTTGAATATAAATTCTGAGGCCGAATTTAAAGAAATTATGCTGAGTCTTAAATTTGAGACTCATTTCAAACATAGCTGGTTCCAATTAAAATTGTATTCAGTGTTTTTAGATGTTACCCGGCGCTAAATTGAAACCGGTTTTTGGCGGTCCAGCAACGAAGTTTCTTTAATTTCGGCCTCTGCTAGATTAAATAGCAAAAGGTATAAAAATCCAAGATGTATAAGGTTAAAAATATTTCAGCAACTTAGTATATTTCACATAGATTCAGCCTGTTATGAAATGTTGCATCAACTTTGTAGTGTCGCAAAGCCTGTGGCTTTGATGTTACGACTCTATTTTACTTATGTTTTTTTTGTAGCACAAGGCATGTACATATTAGAACTATAAAGCACTATATAGCCTTTAAGAAGAATTTTGCAACATTTTTATCAATTTATGCGTGAAAACTTCCAACCTTTAAAACGCACTGATTTCCGTTGTAATTTTAACATTTAACATTTTTAAATATTTTGTTAACCTTGATGTTTTTCTGCCTGTTGACGTCATCAAAGCTAAAAGAAGGTCGATAATTTCTCCTGAATCTATACTGCCTAGAAAAGAAAAACAGGGGTCAATACAAGGTACTAATGCAAGGATAGTTATTTAAGAGGTGTACGCATTTTTTGTACTGCAGTGTAATGAAATATTCTGGTCATAGGAAACTATTATGTGAATTTTCAAAATTATCAAAATTAAATGCTTTTAACCTCCTCGGATACTAAACGAACACTGATGCATGCATCTTGTTTACAAAGTTCGCCCAGAGAGAACTGGTTTCAATATGTACGCAGAGTATATGCGACCGCAATTAACTTTCCTTGCATTAGTTCCTTGGGTCTATATAATTCCATTTCTGATTACATATGGGATTGAGGTTGAAAGTACAGTTAGGGGCATGCAAATACACTTTCTGTGTCATATGGAACTTGGAAAGTTTTTTTGTGTACACTTACTAGACTTCAGAAATGTGTACTACATTACATTTGGGATGTTAAAAGATGTGAATATTAGTATTTAATATAAGAGATAAATTATTATATACAGAAAAATAAACACACCCTTGCAGTATACACCCTGCAGTATGGAGGTTTTTTTTTACAACTTGACATCATACTTGTAATTGTTTACAACAACAACAACATGATTAACTTCTGCCCCAATTATATCTGCAGTCAATCCCAGGGAGTAAGGAATACAGGGGAGATATAACTGACGCGGTTCGCCCTACCATATGATTATACATGCTTTGCAGACGGGTACTTCATTTGAATTAGATATATTTCTCTGATGTACATTTACTGCGTAAATAATAACCTATTCTGAATATTTTATATACAAATGGAGTACCCGTCTGCAAAGCATGTATAATCATATGGTAGGGCGGGCTGTGTCAGTTATATCTCCCTTCTATTCCTAACTCCCTGGTCAATCCACATTTGGAATCGTGTTGGATGGAACTTTATGGAACCCATGAAAAACAGTTCAATTGATGAGCTTTCCTAAGTCCTCAAGTCAGGTCGAAAACAATGATATGATAACTTCTAGCAGCATGGAGGGAAGAGCATCGTGTTCCGTTTTCAAACATTCAAAGTTGTAGCTTTTAAGAGGCAAAATAAGAATAGGAGGTGGCTTTCTAATTTTTCTTTATAAGGTTGCTTCTTTTACAGCTTACAAATGAGATTTTCAGGACTAATTAGAAAATTTAAAATAATGAATCATTTAAAGAAATTGTATAAGGCTTATATAAAAAATTTGCATGCAAAAAATACAAGTTTTTTCTGAGTATTTTGTGCGTATTTTGGTGCTAAAGCTTGGAGATAGTCCAATATAAAATACAAAACTTTAAACTTATGTAAAAAAGCTATTAACCAAAATGATTTCAAAGATATTAGTATTATCATTTTGAAAACGCAAACTTATCAAGATATACAATTTTGTAATACAGTAATAACCATAAAACAATGGAATGGGAAGACAACATTATAGCAATACTGAAGTATCTAATATTCTTGCCAAGCATTCTAAAAGTAAAAAACCTTAAATGTATATATATATATATATGGACCTTTAAAATGATGCACATTGCGCACATGCCTTGCAGTAGCGGCCAAGCTCTGTTACTCGCGAATGCCGCAATGAATTATAAGAAGAGAGAAATTAGTATATATTTAGGGTAAGGTTAGGTTTAAACACTTTCTGGGTCTCGTGCTGCGGCTAGGACAGGCTAGGGGGCCGAGCGCCGTGGCTAGAACACAGATTGGCCACTGCCTTAGTTCTATTTAGACCTGTACCTGATCCATCGGAATCAAATAAATGAAAATTCCAACGGATTCTCGCCTCCACAGGTCGTCTTCCCTGAAAGTAAATAGTTTTATAAAATATGGGAGAGGGCTGAGGGGGAGATTGCAAGGGAATTTTTGTCAGCACAACTTTTTGGACTCGTACAGACAAAACACAAACATTACCAGTCAAGAAAAAAATAGTGGATATGTTATAAATATACTTGCGGCTTTCACTATTTCTTTGTAGAGAACGAATTATTACATATTGATATGTTTGTAAATATTGTTTATAATTCCGCTCAGTGGATTTGTTTACATTTTATAATACATGAAATAATTGTTAATAGTTGGCGCTGTTAGTGATTTTTTAAATATCCCCATGGCTAGGGCTGGGCATGTTCCAACTTTTTCTATTCGTTTTGTTAACGGCTAGTTCCAACCGTTAAAAAACAAAAATTTTAGTTAGCCGTTAGTTTCAAAGGAAATAATGAAATGTTTGTTCCGTTAACGGCTTTTTCCATTTTTTTTAATTATAGATAGTTAACGATCTCAATTTTATAAACAGCGTTAACAGAAAATTTTCAACAATGCTTAACGGCTCTAGCCGTTAATAGTACCGTTATTACAAAATTAACGGTGTTTTAACAGCATTAATGGTGAACAAAATTTTATTTAATTTTTTTTAAATGACATGCAATTTTAATAAGAAAATAACGAAATTTACCGTTTTTAGCTTTTCAGTTAAAGTTTCAACTGTTATTTTTTTCTCTAAAACGGATCATCCATTTCGTTAACAATTAAAAAATTAATAATTTTTTACTTTTGTTAACGGACTCTTTCCTTAATTTTCAAAAACCCCCATTTCGTTAACGGACCTTTGCCCAGCCCTACCCATGGGCAATCTGGACTAATTGGTTTCTTTAATTTGAGTTCAATCCTGTTTTGGTCTAGAGTAAAAAATGTTCAAATTTACATTGCTGTCTTTTAAAACTGTTTAATCTGCAAGTAGAGCTGAACTGTGTAAGTGGTGATGTTTACCATTAAATCAGAAGCAAGCATGAACTGGACAAAGGTCAACCCTCCAACACATTCTCTAAATATAATTATTTTAATTTATATACTATAGTTTGATATTTATAAAATATATATACAAGAAAGATTCTTTTTTTTGCAAGAGTTGCATCAGAGTTTCATCTCTATTTCTGTTTGCTGTGTACATGTGCTTTCAAGTAAAAAAAAAATAATGATAAAATTGCTTAAACATGTTTCTCTTGACTTTTACAGAATATAATTTTCGTGAGTTTTTTCGAATAACTTTTAAATTCATGATAATATTAATCTAGATATTTTGTTTTCAAAAAAGTGTTTCCAGTGGAGGAATTTAAACAAACTCAAGTAATGTTAATTCCTAAGAATGAAAATGATTGTGCGAAATACACTGAGACAATACAAGAAAATGGTCAGTTTTTACACTTCTATGAAGGTTAATTCCTCTCTATTTACATATTCACTCTGTGGTCAGCATACAAAGAACTTCTATTTTTCATCTCACGTTTAACGTAATTATTGGAAAAAGTTGAATAAAAAAGTGTAAACAAAGTCATTGCTCTTGACTTAGACACAAAATAGTTTTGTGGATTATTTTTTGGATCTAAAAGGTATCAAGACACACCAAAAACTAAAAAATTATAAAAATTATAACTTTGTACAAGAGACGACACTTTTAACTATTTCTTTGGGCTAACTCTGTTGATAAAATATTTTAAGTTTTATTGTCAATAATAATTGAGCGCGAATATTGAAGAAAAATAAGAGGATACAATTACTGATTATTAATTATGATACAAGGTGTCCCAGGAATTTTGATATTATATAGCAAAATGAGACTTAAAAGTAGTTTTTGATTTACTTGTGACATTCAATCGTCAACCTACATTAACATTAACATGTATGATTTTTTAAACAAAAATTACATAATTTTCATAGTCTTGCCATTTCCAAAATGTGGTCTGCCGATTTTGTGCTGTCAATATTACAGGAGATATTAACGAACGAAATTCTTCATATCTCGGGAAATATGAAAAGCAAAAAAAGTAGAGTACATTTCGAAATGTCAGGATCATCATTTATTTTCTAAAGTATTTAAAAATCAGGCTAACAAAGAAAAACTGCCAACTACATCAAAATCAAAGACGACGTTTAAGTCGTCTTTCTTCTGTCATGTTTCGTTTAATCTGTGGCTTGAAAGGAGGGNAAGGGGGGTGATGTAAACCTGTCAAAAAGTTTGAAAACATCTTGAAGGAACTGGTCCAGGTCCTGCCCTCCAATATTCATTTCTTTAAACAGCTCGTCCACCTAGATAATTTTTATAATTCGTTGAAAATAGAAAAAAACTTTCTGAAAATATGTTAAGAATATATAATTTCAAAATCTGATTTATCGCCTCAAAGTTTAGGAAGTCCAATCCTTAAATATTTACATCTAATGTCGCAAATTTTACACCTGGTTGCAAACTTTACACCATCAGGTCGCAAACTTTACACCATCAGGTCGCAAACTTTACACCATCAGGTCGCAAACTTTAATGTTGCACACTTTACACCATCAGGTCGCAAACTTTACACCATCAGGTCGCAAACTTTACACCATCAGGTCGCAAACTTTACACCATCAGGTCGCAAACTTTACACCATCAGGTCGCAAACTTTGCAGCTAATGTTGCACACTTTACACCATCAGGTCGCAAACTTTACACCATCAGGTCGCAAATTTTACACCATCAGGTCGCAAACTTTACAGCTAATATCTCAAACTTTACACCATCAGGTCGCAAACTTTACAGTTAATATCGCAAACTTTACACCATCAGGTCGCAAAGTTTACACCCAATAACGCAAACTTTACACCACCAGGTACAGATAAAGATACAGGGATTACAAAAGTAGAGTGTACATGGTGTAAGCTTTAATTATTTTATTAAAAATTGTTATCTTTTTTATTTTGCTTCTTAAATGTTTACTTACATGTATACTTGTAATGAACCACTTGCGTATACAATTGCGTATACTTGTATGAATAAAATGCGTAATGATAATTTTTTCTACAATTTCAGAATTAATTCATGATATATTTTTTGACAAAACATTTAATACATTGACATTTAAAGCTGTATAAATATAATACGAATAAAATATTAAACATTACAAACTAAACACTGGTCACACAAACTGGATCAAAATATAAAAAATTAACACCGTAAGTTTAGGATGTTAGGTACTTTCCCTAAGGTATTTTCCCAAATGGTAACTTCCCAAATATGCAATTTCCCAAGCGGCAACTTCCCAAGTCTGTCCTAGCCGCAGCGCTTGGTAAATTGCGCATTTGAGAAGTTGTCACCTGGGAAATTGTCACTTGGGAAGTCACCTTTAAGAAAATGCCTTAGGGACAGTACCTAACACCAATAAATATAGGTAATAGAAATTAAGATGCTGTGTCGAGTGTTTTATCCCTTTATTGTAAAATATATTGTTTATTTTCAGAGTTAATAAAAACAGTATTACAACTTGTAAAACAAATTGATATAAGAAGGAAATATTATTTATAATATAATTGATATAAGAAGGAAATATTATTTATAATATAATTGATATAAGAAGGAAATATAAGAAGGAAATATTATTTATAATATAATTGATATAAGAAGGAAATATTATTTATAATATAATTGATATAAGAAGGAAATATTATTTATAATAAAATTGATATAAGAAGGAAATATTATTTATAATATAATTAAATTACCTTATCTCTGAGTAATAAACCGTTTGGACATTCCTAAATTAAATAAATTTAAAGGGACTGAATAGGAAAAATGAAAGGGGGTATAGACTGAAAGCTTTAGCTCTCGATCGCGACCCATGAAAGTTAAATCTGATGTTCCTATCTCGAGAAATTGATAAACAACTGTGTCAAATTTATATGAAAATTAATATATATTCAATTTTGTGTAAAAGTAGAGGGTTTAAATAGATCAAATTCAGCAAATATGCAACCAATCTGAAAACTATGATATCCCAGAGAAAGCTTACTGTAACATAGGTTTACTCCAATTCTAATTTTATATTTGTTATTTATATTTTTTATAGATTTAATTCAAAATATTCTTTATACGTCCGTATTGCTTTACCAGAAGTTCCACCAATGGCAGTGCTGTAAAGTGGTCATGTGATACAGGTGAAGACACGTGATCAGTATACTGCTCTGCCATTGGTGATAGTTCTGGTCACGTGATTTAAGTTTAAGATTTTCTAAATTTTACATATATGAACTTTCATATAATTGCAACACAGTTTTAAATCAATTTCTCGAGACAGGAACATCAGATAAAACTTTCATGGGTCGGGATCAAGAGCTAAAAAGATTAGTTTTCAGCCTATACCCCCTTTCATTTTTCCTTTACAGTCCCTTTCACCCCTTTCCTACCAAATAAATATTTGTTCTAATTAACACAAGCACCTTTCTACAGGCGGTATGCTTTAACAAAAAATGCCAGAGTCCTCAAGCATTGTGTCTAGATTTCTTATTTTGCCAATACCATACTAATTCATACTAAGTTATAAATTTAAACTTTCTCTGATTTAAAGAATAGTCATTTTATGTGAGTTTGTCATTCAAGAGTTTGACTTTCAAGAGTTTGTCTTTCAAGAGTTTGTTTTTCAAGAGTTTGTCTTTCAAGAGTATGTCTTTCAAAAGTTTGACATTCAAGAGTTTTTCTTTAAGTGTTTGTCTTTCAGGAGTTTTCTTTCAAGCGTTTGTCTTTTAAGAGGTTGTCTTTCAAGAGTAAGTCTTTCAAAAGATTGTCTTTCAAGAGTTTTTCTTTTAAGATTTTGTCTTTTAATAGTTTGTCTTCCAAGAGTTTGTCTTTCAAGAGTTTGTCTTTCAAGAGTTTGTCTTTCAAGAGTATATCTTTCAAAAGTTTGTCTTTCAAGAGTTTTTCTTTAAGTGCTTGACTTTCAGAAGTTTGTCTTTCAAGAGTTTGTCTTTCAAGATTTTTTCTTTTTTGGGTAACCCTTTTTTAAAATATATTTAAGATTGCATGATGAAAAAATGTTAATATTTCACCAATGCTGAAGTTTCTTAATATATTATATTATTAACTAAAGAAACTAATTCCCAAAGAGGGGAATATTATTATTATTAATGTAAAACAATTTTACAATAAAAAGAAAATTAATTCTCAGTCAAAATGAAAAGTATGATTTATTTTATCGTCAAAATAAATTAATTTCGACAAATGGCACAAAATGCACTTAGCCCTAAAAGGGAGTGACCGGCAATGTATGGTGGTTGAACTGAATATGTAGTTTTTTGTGGACAAATAATTTAGGATCCATTTGAGACATATAACACGTTTCCACGATGTATAATTACTGAGTTTCAAAACCATGAATTGCTTTTTTAAATTATTAAAAAGCGACGACAAAAAATTTGAGCCAAATTCTACAAGTAAACTTTTTGGTTGTATATTAACAAGTTGAGAAAATAAAAATTACCTGGTATTATCGAAAATAAGTACACTTATTCAATTATTAGTTCTATAATCTCTCTTTATTAACAAAGATTTTCTGCAGATTTTCTTGAATTTTTAATGAAAAATCTGCAAACAAATTCATAGAAAATAAGAAATTCACCATAATGATGAAAACGAAATAATTGATTCTAACATTGATTTATTGACAAATATCTTTTGAGAAAGATGTTCCTAAACATTTAATTAGTTTACTTTAGAATTTTTCCTATATTACTTGTCGTCGGATCTTAATAATTAAAAAATAAAATTCTGAAAATGTAAAACTATCCAAATGGATGATTTTGAACGTCGACTTTGCTCTCAAACTCAGTAATTTAATATCGTGGAAACGTTTTATATGTCTCAGATGAATCGGAAAAAATTTTTCTACAATACTGCATACTCAGTTCAACCTTGATACATTCTCGGTCATTCCCTTTAATAGTCAAAAAGCATAATTTTAATTGACCCTCCATGAGGGAAGGGTTTATTTCTAATAATTTCTCCATTATTTCTTTCAGCAATTAATGTGTAAGTCACTTTTGCATAGAACCCACAAAAACACAAAGCTCTTTCAAGGTTTGGTTCTCAAAATTATTGTTCATTTTCCATCTATTTAGCTCGTTTTCTCACAGAACGATCGTTTTGTAAAATTGTTCGTTAAATAAAATCGTTCGATTAGTAAAATAAATATTTTTTTAAAAAATCTTTTGGTTCTATAAAAAATAAGCGAAATCGTTCATGACCATTTTGGAAACTTTCAATATTTTTTTCGTTTTTAAAAAACAATCTCTTTTTTTGTTTTTCTGAAGTCTTAATTTTCCAATTCGTTCGTCCATCAAGGGTCCCGTTGTTCATAAATGAGAAGCCCATAATAAATTTAGCTATTGCATATTAATAAATAACATTTTTCTCTATACGCTAAAGGGCAATATATCCATAGAAAGATGTATGAGAAAACCAAACTCCCCCCCCCCCTCCTTAAAAATATGATTGCACCCTAGTGTTTTGCCTTGAAAAAGTACAATTCAATGTTTAAAGTTGTTTATCCCAAATGTAATTATTTATGGCAGGAAATTACAAAATGGAGCAATTATAAACCAACTTTAAATAACAATATTATGATTAACCTGGCTAATTTTGTGTTAACCCTATTTAGCCTGGGAGGGGGGGGGAGGGATGAAGCTCAAATTTTCTGGCTTTTCTAACTAACACAGCCCCCTCACCTAAGACTAAAATCTTGGCTTTAATAACTACTGCCTGAGTCCTCAGGCAAACTGCCTAAATGCCTTATTTTACCAATACCAGACTAAATCTATATTTAGACCTACTTCCAGTCATTGGATTTCAATTTTTTATAGCTATTTGGAAAGCCTTTAACAAAAGTAAGCAGATTGCACATTTTTTGCAAGGAAATTTTACACATACGCTTTTCAAGGGAAATTGGCACATTTTCATTTTTTATTGGATGCACATTTAGGTTTTAAAAATGTTGCAAATGTTTTTGCATTCTTGAATTCGCTGGGTCAAGGGCTTTTAAAAAAAGGCCATTTGACCCANATGTTTAACCTGACTAATTCTTATGTTTAACCTGACTAATTCTAATGTTTAACCTTACTAATTCTTATATTTAACATGACTAATTCTTATATTTAACATGACTAATTTTTATATTTAACCTGACTAATTCATATGTTTAACCTGACTAATTCTTATATTTAACTTGACTAATTCTTATATTTACCATGACTAATTCTTATGTTTAACCTGACTAATTCTTATGTTTAACCTGAATAATTCTTATGTTTAACCTGAATAATTCTTATATTTAACCTGACTAATTCTTATGTTTAACCTGACTAATTCTTATGTTTAACCTGACTAATTCTTATATTTAACATGACTAATTCTTATATTTAACCTGACTAATTCTTATATTCAACCTGACTAATTCTTATGCTTAACCTGACTAATTATTATGTTTAACATGACTAATTCTCATGTTTAACCTGACCAATTCTTATGTTTAACCTGACTAATTCTTATATTTAACCTGAATAATTCTTATATTTAACCTGACTAATACTTATGTTTAACCTGACTAAATGTTGTAAACCAGTCTTGTATTTCTTCCACATTAAACTGTGTCTTGCTTTAGAAAAAAAGGATTAGGTACAAACCATGATACTACAGTGTGTCCTACGAATGTTACTAATAGAAAGACGACATTAAGATAGTCTTGTATATTTGGAATAAATTGCGGCATTTGTTCTTAAACATGGTTCCTAACATGATTCTTAACCCGAAATTTTAGTCATGGCATTTTTGCACTGTCAATAATACCGGAGATTGTCTAAATCTGAACAAAATTCTTTATATCTCCTGTGACTTCTGTACTTTTGAAAAAAAACACCACATTTTGGAAATGCCAGAAATAGTGATATTCTGTCGTCATGCTAGGAAATCATGAATTTCAAAGTCAATGTATGATAAAAAAGCAGAAAGAAAAAGGAAATCATGAATTTCAAAGTCAATGTATGATGAAGAAAAGCAGGAAGAAAAAGGAAATGATGAATTTCAAAGTCAATGTATGATGAAGAAAAGCAGGAAGAAAAAGGAAATCATGAATTTCAAAGTCAATGTATGATGACAAAAAAGCAGGAAGAAAAAGGAAATCATGAATTTCAGCAACAAAAATTCATTTCTTTTAAGTTTTGTTCTACATTGGTGACCCTGCATACAAAGAAAATAAATAAAAATAAAGAATTTTTGTATTTCTTCAATTCTTGTACATAAATTCCTAAGTAGAAATTGCTCTGTCTTTTTATCCAATTTCTTCATTTCATTTTTATCTGAAAAAAACGATAACAAAAAAAGTTTTTGGATTTTTATAACAATATTTTGTGGCTTTTAAAAATTTAATGAAAATCAACTGTTGTTGTAGGCTAATTTTTTAAATCTCGATCATCCATAAACCTTCCCTGGGGTCATGTAAAGTCCCACACAAAATGTGGGCCTGATCGGTTCAGCCGTGTTGACGTTTATTTGATACAAACAAACAGACAGACAAGCAAAGTATATATATAGATAGATTGCAAATGAATACATAAATCAAATCTAAATACATTATTCCAATAAAATATTATTATTTGTCGTCGTATTTATCAATATAATGAAGCACGGCCGGTCCGATATAATTCAAAAACCGGGCAGACATCTAACCAGCTAGTGTAAGCTGTACACATATTTACAGATTATACCAGGCAAAACAGGACAGGACACCAAATTAACTAGACCCTTCCAGGGATATTAATGTCGAAGAAGACTTTTGATTTCAAGTTTTGATGTTATACCAAGATTTTAAGTTTTGATGTTATACCAAGATTTCAAGTTTTGATGTTATACCAAGATTTCAAGTTTTAATGTTATACCAAGACACATAAACATGGAAACAAAAATAAGCTGTTAATTAACAGCTTTTCTTTGTTTACTTGTAAACTTGTAATTAAATTGTAAGTTTGTAAAATTGTATTGATATAAAAACCAACCACTGTATCTCTTTTCAGGGGGGGGGGGGGAATGTAAAGTTCAATATTTTTTCTCCCTAAAATGTTTATTTACCCAGCTGTAATTACAGTTTTGGTTTAGAGTCTCTACACGCCTCCACGAAACATAATAAACTGAACCATATTTTATAGAATGCTTCGGGAAACATTAAAAATAACGTTTATATTAAATTGTATTAAATAATGTCTATCAAAAATAAACTGTGTTTTTATACAAAACAAAGTGTCTTAAAAAAATCCATGACATTTTTAAGAACTTTTTTCAAAAATATTCTTCAAAAAAAACTTATATGCTTTTAAGCCTAATAATGTGTATTTGGCGTTTTTCCTCTTTACATTGCTGTTTTCCATAAATTATGTTTTTTTTTCAAAGTTTATTGTAAACAAAGAGAAACTGTTAATTGGCAACTTAATTCTCTTTGTTTCCATAGTTATGTGTCTCTGCTGTTTCCGTAGTTATGCGTCTCTGCTGTTTCCGTAGTTATGCGTCTCTGCTGTCTAAATGCTTCAGAAAATCAAAATTAAAATAGAAAGTTGTCTTCATTGTATTGATATATTCGACAATGATTGTACCCAAACGCCTATATCTGTTAATTTGCGTCTGATTTAAACTTTGCCATAGAGCTTGTTAGTACAGAGTAGAGATGTCAACGATAGTGTAACGTAACGTAAAATGTACGTTTTTGTACGTTACGTTACAATAATGTGTAATGTTTGGATATATTCTATATAACGTGAACGTTAAACGTTAACGTTATAGGAGCTCATACCTAACGTTGTTTCTGTAAATATTTACCTTGCATGAAAGTAGAACGTTAAAAAATTGTGATTTCATTACATAAGCTTTAACGCAACGTTGGGAAAGTTTTTTAAAACGGGAAATGCAAAAGCGTAACGGATCTTACTGTTTTTCCACAACATTTACTAAAGCTTAACGTTGTATAAGGTATTCAAGTGCAGAAAATTCATTACGTAACGTTACTATAAGCCAAAAATTTTCATAATGTGCAACGTAACGTTTCAAACGTTAATACTTTTGATGAACACTATCGTAACAAAAGCTAAAATCTAGAAAAATCAAAACGTTGACATCTCTAGTACAGAGTAAGCATTAGGATTTATATGCAAAGCCAGACGCCTCAATTGGTTTAATTAAGAAGCCACAGAATATCGTCTTTTCTATAGTTTAAAAAGATTTAGGACTTTTAGAGCATGTATCTCACCAAAAACTTTTATTAGAAACGCATAACTTTTATATCTTTGTGGATTATCTTAAATGAGATTGCAATGTTTGGTTTGCAATTTTTTGCCTCCTTCAAACCATGCTTTTTTGGGGCCTTGCTCACTATACGGGCCTTGAATTTTGCTTATAACCAATAGAAAACTATATTTTAATGACATTTATAAATTTTGATTTTAAAATATTTTGTATTTTTCATTCAAATGAGAACTAAGAAGTTAATAACCGTGTCGCTAATTTCCGATCGTTTTTATCACCTTTAAATGGTTAATTTGTTTAATAAATAGAGTTTTAATGTTGATTGTTTGAATTCAAAATCAATACTGCATCCAATGACGTCATATGCAACTGTACGGAGCGTACACACTATTCGGATAAATTCCTAATGCAATATCTTCATACTATTGGAACATCTTTGGACTAAAACTGCATCCAATGATGTCATATACAAGTGTACAGAGCATACACACTATTCGGATAAATTCCTAATCAGAGATAAGAGAGTTACAGAGATCGATTATCATCTAAATCTTCAAATAAAAGACTGAATTCATAAATGTTATGTTTTATGTTTAAAATTGGACTAAATTTCTTTAAAAGATGTAAAACTTAACCCTGAATGGGTATTATGTTCAACAAGTGGCCGTGAGATGGCACTCTAAAAACCTATCGTAAAAACGTAGCATGTCGTGCCGGGTCAACTTAGGCCTATGTAGCCCACCCTGTGAAAGGAGATAAGCAGTCTGTGTAGTCTGTGTATTTGACTATCTTTGAACTTGGCAGATGCCCAAGTCTATTGTTTAGTATACAAAGTATATTAAGTATAACAGTGTGAATACATTCTCTTAAATCTATATAATAAAACAAGACATTCGTATATATATATATTAACCGCCTATGTAAAGAGTGTTTTTAGAATTGAGTCTTTGTCACAAATTGGAAATTTATAATCCCTTTATCTCTGCAACCAAATGGTGTACATCTTTGATATTTCAAACTTAGATTATTTGATCTATTGAAATATTTAAGGTCTTCCACATTGAGTTATTATTATGATTTATTTGTCGAACACATAAAATTGGTTCAGATATTAGATTAGAACTATAATTCAATTTACACATAGGTTTTCAACAAACGACTTTAATTCTTCTCAAATGTTGTCTTCTTCACAGATATAGGATTAAAGACCAGAGTTGAAGTTTAGTAAGTGTAAGTATAAAGTCATTATTTATTTATGAAATATAACAAAAACATACAAAATTAGGTGTTTCAAGAGAAAATATTTAAAAACCTCCAAAAATAAAGAAATAATGAGAATATTTCCAACCAATTTAAAAAAAAATAGAAAAAATAGAAATGACAGGAAAAGGAAACGAAAGGAAATGAAAAGTGATATATTTTTGTTTGCATTATATTTAATATGAACTAGTGGTGGATTGTTAGCATTTTTCGACGATGAGCTATACATTTTTTCAGATTGCTAAAGAAAATATGCTTTATCTGTTTAAAAGAAAACCGGTTTTGTCTCTAGAAAAGTTAGCGTTGCTCAGCTTCCAAAGGTTAACTATTAAATTATTATTAATTTATTTAATAACAATATATTTTAAACATGAAGACGATATTATATTATATCCATGCTTAATCGTATTTGATGTTGTTACAAAGTAAATAGTTTTACTCATAGATAAAGATAGATTGCGCATAAGACGACATTTTTTATCTTGAAAGATATAAATGTACAGAGATGTTTTAAAGATACTCGTATTATATAGATTAACTAGGTCGGTTGTGAACATTGGCTGTTCTTATGTCATTGAGTACTTGTGGCGTACATGAGTTCTGTATAGAGAAATTTAAGTCAGTTTAGTCCTTCTCATGTCCTTCTTCAGTTCTCGTCATGATAATTTGATAATTTGATATTCTCAAAATAAAATTCACTCCTAAGTGGTATAATAATTATGAAATCCATTAAAACACCAAAGACACCAAACCACCCCGCTTATCATTAAAGTACACTTTGACCCCTAGAATTGTATGAGTTCGCGGACTGTACAATTCTTGGTGATTTTGCGAACAAAAGCTATCCATGTTTATTTATTTATCTATGGTTTTACTAGACACTTATCAACTCACTAGTTTAGCGAAGTGGGTCCGTTTACACTGCACAATTGCTGTGTTTCATCCTCATTGGACGTTTTAAAGCTATAACTTGATTCTAAAAGTCGTCTTCCTATTTCAGAGTTTTCTAATTATATAGATGTATAATTCTAAACCAGAACATTTTTGTTCAGATATTTAACAGATCACTGTTGGGTCGTGAGCAACATGTATTCTGGAACTAAATTTGAACAGGTAGAAACTAAAAGGGACTGTTCATAAATCTTCCTCGTTTGCCTGCCTGACGAGTTTAAGAAAAGTACAGTTTTCTTTGACGTTGAGGATCAGACAAAGGCGTAAATGAGACGACATTTCACTCTTGAAATGAAGGATAGGCTGAAATTACATCTACATTACTTTTAAAGATTTAAATCCTATAATCAAATTTAACCCTAATGCTAACGTGGGGGCTAAGGTGGGGGGGGGGCGTTTGGCGCCTCCCCCCATTATTGACATTATTGACACTATCACCGTGAAACTTTTTGACTTTTAATGAATAATACTTTAAAGGTTTTTTTGTAAAAAAAATATTTTTTTTAGGGTATGGGAAACGGTACAGGGCGGAAAAAAGTAAAGTCTGTAACTTAAATTCCAATTGATTATCCCTAAACAGGCCTTCCTCTAGTTTTTTTTTGCCCTAGCACTATTATTTTTGACACTATCACCGTGAAACTTTTTGACTTTTAATGAATAATACTTTAAAGGTTTTTTTGTAAAAAAAATATTTTTTTTAATTTATGGGAAACGGTACAGGGCGGAAAAAAGTAAAGTCTGTAAAAAAAACTCTAAAATAGCCCACAACTTTTTTGTGACTAAAGCTACAGATCTTAAAACTATATTTTCGAAAAGCCCTTGCAAAATGCAGGAAGAACATGTGTCACACTTTGATATTTGTTTTTTTCTCCTTTTTTTAACCCTTTTTCAGCATTTTTTTCCACCCTCCCTAGCACCTAAACTAATAAAATTTTCGGTCTATTTTATTCTTCTTTGAGCTGGCCATGACAAATTGGGCTATCAACATGCATTTCAACCCTATACCTATTCTCTAAGGTCTATTTCTAGGAGTTGGGGTGCCAAACGCCCCCCCTCCCTTCCGGCTATACATAGATTAAAAACCCCCCAGCCTTTATAGGGTTAAGGAACTCAATTCAATTATTTGAAGTTCCGGCCCACTAAATTATTTTTTATTATTTTTTTCTTATTCTTTCTCATAGTTTCTAACATTATGATATCTTTTGTAACTTTATAAACCCATCTCATCAAAATCAAATCTCCTTTCCTCATTTTAACCCTATTTGCCCCGGGGGGAGGGGTCAATTTGACCCCCTATCGTTTTTTTTGCGATAACAAATTCTAATTATAATTCTACAGTAAACTAGTTTGTTCAATTGTTGTTTAGGAACTTAATTCTCAATTGAAATTTGAAAGGAAATCAAAAGTAGAATTAATTATTTCTTTATATTCACTATATTGAATTCGATGTTTGTTGAAAATATGTTTGCTGATTTCTTCAAATGTCGTCTTTTCAATTAAACTTCCTGGAAATCTACGAAAAATATTTGTGAGCAAACAGACGTTACAAAAACCAATAATTAAATGAAACTACTTATTTTCGATGATAAAAGTTAATTTTGTTTTCTCAACCTGTTTCAGAACAACAAATTAGTATAATTTTTCTTACATTTATTATGACAATGCATGAACCGGTCACTCTCCCATTACATTGAATTTTTGAAGAATGAATTTTCATTGTAAAATGTGTGTCCAGGTTGTGAAACGGGAAGAAGTTCTCTGGCTCCATATCCAAGAATTAAGGAATGTAATGATTTAAAAATGTATTCTCAAACATAAATATTTGGCTTGCATTTCTGTTTGTTTGTTCGTGTCAAATATACTTGATTACGATGGAACCGATCTGCGACCTCAGGGTATGAAATCCTTCAATGCTAAGAAGAAATCCACATATTTTTTTTACATTAAATGAAAAGAAAGGGCAGATTAAAAATCGTCTAAATCGATAACATTGTTACTAGAATTTAAAAGACTAACCAAGTTAGAACTATGTATAGAAAATTGATAAAACAGTTTTTTAAGATGGTATCAACATTTTTTTAACAAAATCAACGAAAATCCTCTTCAAAGATTATTACCCGATTAGCAGAGGAAAATTGTAAAAGAAAATTAAGAAAATTAAGGGGCCATAAAAAAAGGAAAAATAACAAAAAAAATCAGAAAAATTTTGATTTATCGGTTCTTTATTGAATGTATAGTTATAGAAAATCTAACACGATATTCTAATTTTAATAATTTTAAATCTTATTTGTAGAGAACATATCTTCAGTCATGTCTCAATTTATGTACAGGTATTAGTACTTCAATTTTAGGAAAGTTTGAGCCCAAATCAAACTAAAAATTTGATTTTTATTACTTTAAACTACACAACTATGTATTGCTAAGCATACGATAATATTTATTATTGTCAACACAAATATTGTGCAGTTTTTGCTACTATATCGCGAATGAATATAATGAACCATATATCTTAATTATTTTTGGATTCGCAGATATGAAAATCTAAAGACTAAAAAGCGTCTGAAGTGTCCTTTTAAGGTTTCACGTTAGAATGTGTGCATGCTCAATATTATATTGTTAGTGCCTAAACATCCTTCCTTGGCTCTTCTGCATAATAAGCAATGCACATTTAAGGAGAAACCATAATTAAGAATCATTAATGTTAAATTATACGAACAGGAATGTAATTACTACAAAGGTTCAATACTAGGGTTGATTTAGGTCCTAATTTTAGTATTTTTATTACTGAAAAGGAGGACGTAGTGCAGATGATAATATCAGCTGTGAACGAGGCGGCAGAAGACAAAAGAAAACAATATACAATGAACACAGAAATAGGAAGGTTAGTCAACATTTAGAATTCAACTAAAAACTTTTTTTGTATCTATATTTTAAATAGTTTGGTTGTCCGATCATAATTCAGGAACCCCTTGATTGATTTGTTTCCAACATTTTCATAGTTGAGTAGGTTTATTTTTATGGAGAAAACTCCAAGCAAAGCTGGGTTCACTGATAGTATTCAAATAATTTTATATCTTGACTTGCATGGATTTATATTATTTAAAACCTGCAAACCATTTTAATGACTTAAAAAAATTTAAACCCCGCTATTTTAAATTAAGTCAATCGATAACAGCAGTATTTAATAAGTTATAAAGAAGTTGGATTTAATTCTGTTCTAAACTTTTTTTTACAGATTTTTTTTAGATACAAAACTGAACTGTACTGCATAGTGACTATGGTAGATTTGATTGTATCCCCCCAAATCAGGGACAAATATAGATTTCTTATTTTTATCTAGTATTTTTAGAAAAATGGAAAATATATGGTTGTTTTGAATAAAATGTCAACGGAATTGAGTCTTTTCCATGCACAAACTAAAATTTTCTAATCCCTTTTTCTTTGCAACCTGATAGTGTACACCTATGAATTTTTAAGCTTGGACTATTTGATCAACATACATCATCTTGTTTTATCTAAAATCTACGACATTGGGTTGCAAAGATATAGAGATTAAAAAATCTTTTTAAAAAGGAATTTAATGTCTTTTTCTGTGAATGGGGTGGCGTTAGTTAACCATTAGAGATAAGCATCATTTATTTGAACAAATATAATTTTTCATTAAGTTAAGGGTGTCGTTCAGAACAAAAATAACGATCGTTCAGAGGAGAAATGAAAAAATGATCTGTTCTAATTAGAGAGTGAGGAGAGGGAGAGGGATGAGAGGGAGAGGGATGAGAGGGAGAGGGATGAGAGGGAGAGGGATGAGAGGGAGGGGGGAATAGAAATCATAGATTTGTGTTTTTGAAGACGCCTGGATCTACCAAATATTCCTAAAGTATTGCGCACTCATCTAATCAGCAGACTCAGGTGGGTTTCTTGCATTAAAGGGACTGTACGCGCAATTTCATTTGATTAATAGATTTACGACGGTTTAACACTTTATCAGATAAACTATAGATATTCATGTCTTTGTTTTTAAGAACTGTTTATTTTAATATGTGGTTTCTCTATAAAATTGATAAATTGTCAAGTCAGAAAAAACAAAAATATCATATCATCCACATTATTGATGAGATAAAAGTGCCCAGGGTACCCTTGTGAATTGGTCATATATACCCTTTACATGGAGGGTCACTTAAAATTTCAACCTGATAACGTAGACTTTTGATATTTCAAACTGCTTATTCTGCTGGATCAATTAGTCAATTAATTATGAAATATCTGGTTGCAAAGATATGGGGAGTATGAAGTGAGTAATTGGTGTTAAACTAGCAGGATTCAAAGTGAAAAATAAAAAGACGTTTTCAATAATATCATGTTGCAAAATTATTAGAATTATAAAATCAGCGTTCTTTATTAAATGTGCAAAATTATGCAAAAAAAGGCCATGGTCCTTTACAATAAACATATGAAAAATACAGTTTTAATTAACTTTGAATTTAGATCGTTCACTGGACTTCATTTTCTGGAGATTCTGCTCCTTGGGTTCGGAAAGGTAAAGGAATTGAGTCTTCACCACAAACTTAAATTTTATAATCACCATATCTTTGCAACCCGATAGTGTAAACCTTTGATATTTTAAACATAGATTAATTTATCCAACAGAGTTCATAGTTTAAATTATCTAAGCTCTATGACATTGGGTTGCAAAGATATAAGTATTAGAAAATCAGAGTTTGTGGCAAAGACTCAATTCCTTTTTGTGTATCTCTGGATCTATATAATGGGAAATGAAGAGTTAAAGGGAGAGTTCTTGTAGTTTCAAGTGAACTTTTTTTTTAAAGAGGAACACACCCTTCAAACCATTATCTGATTAAAAGTTTTAAGAACTGTTTTATTCTGACAATTTACATTGTAATTTCTAAAACATAAGTGCGCAAGTTAAATTGAAAATACTTAAATTTCTACTCCGACAAGGAAGGATATCTTATAATTTTTTAGCCAGGCAAAGCTTTTAAGGGTTCTGTTGAGAATCGAACATGTCTCTTTACTAGAGGTCAATCTCTTGATATATGGTCTACACTAGTCTAGAGTCTACAGTCCCTTCTGGGTAGAGCTGGGCGTGCTTCTACTTTTATGAAATTGTTTGTTCCGTTCCGTTTATTCCTGTGATAGAACGATCATTCCACAGGAATGATGTCCAGCCCTACTTCTGATGGGATTTCAAGACATGCTTGAACTATACAGGCATACCCTGGAACACCAAAGATATCACGTGGGACACCCTCTTTGAATGGGGAGTCACCTGAATTCCCATTACAATTTGGTAACGTAACCGCTAGATGCATGACTTTTTTTACAGCAGCATGCAGCATGCTTTAAAAAATGAATCCTGAGACCGAATTTGATGAATTTAACCGCACCACTGAACCGCCAAAAACAGGTTCCGATAGAGCACCGGCTGAAATCTCGAAACACTAGTTACAATTTCATGTGGAATCAAATACGCCACGTCTAAAATTTTAGACGCAGCTCAAATTCTTTAGACTCGTCCTCTGAGTTTTGAATTTGATTATTAGTTGAACTAGGTAAAGAGAATTAAACTGTTGCACTATGTGTGGTAAGATTTCCCTGTAGATGTAGTTCAGCTATCTATGCATAGTTCAACTTCTTTTCTCTCTTTTTATTCTTTCCAAACTTTTATATTTAGGATTCAAGAATGGTTGATAGTGCAGAGATTGTCGCTCCCAGCAATATTATAGGTAAACTACCGTATTGTAGCTTCCAGCAATATTATAGGTAAACTACCGTATTGTAGCTCCCAGCAATATTATAGGTAAACTACCGTATTGTAGCTCCCAGCAATATTATAGGTAAACTACCGTATTGTAGCTCCCAGCAATATTACAGGTAAACTACTGCGGAAACCCGGCTTTGCCTGGAAACTAAACCTGCTCCATGAACTGTGGTTTAAAGATTGCAAGCTCTCAAGCAAAATTCTATGAGAATATTGCCAATTACTTCTTTTAAACCAAAGCTAGAAACAAGTGCTTTATGGCGCTAAAATGTTCAGGTTAAGGGCTACAGAAAAGCATGTGTAGTTAGAGGGGTTAAATTCAAGACCAAGGCGTTGCGATTCTTTACAGCCGACCCTGTCTTAAAAATGGATGAAACTTTTTATAAGCTGGCTGAATCTAGGTGGTGGAAACCCACTCAACTTTTCCAAACCAAGCCAAGAACGTTCCTGTGGTTCTTCTGAGGTTCAGCATAAAAATTTGTTGCAAAGCGGTCAAGGGACTCATGAATTAGCTGAAGTTTATCAAATCCTTGAAACTTGGGCAAAAAAACAGATTTATCTTTATCCAGACAAAAATAGAATAAGTTCAAACCGTTTAATTAGAAGCTAGTTCATACCTCTGAATGGGAAGGTTTAAAGCCTGGACTAACAAGTTGAGTTCGGTATTTGAATTTTGGTCTGTATAATTCAACAATCTTTAGTTTACAGAGATTTTCTCTACAGTGATAACAATAACAATAAAAGAATATTATATCAATACTTCAGTGATGACTTTGTAGCAAAGCAAATAGTTTTATTAGCAACTTATTAAACAATACTCTAGTAAAATGGGTCTGTTTACACTGCACAATTACTGTGACTCAAGCTCATTGGATTGTTTAAAGTTATAACTTGATTATAAATGTCGTCTTCCTATTTCATAGTTTTCTGGTTTTGAATTTTTTCTGAATCAAAAGGAAATCTTGCAATTCTACAATTCAGTTCATGTTACAGTTAAACCTTAAATAAGCTGCATGCATCAAAAGCATTTATGAAATGTTGTCTTGACAATTTTTCAATGGGTTTATAATTTTTTTTCATAAATTCATAAATCTCAGTATTTGCGAAAATAAATAAATAGCCATGAATATGTGGGAACAGTTTTAAAGAGCTCCATATAATTATTTAATTAAAAACTAAATATCTGCAACATTCCTTTATCAGAAAGTGAAGAATACGACATTTGAAGAATTCTTTCGATGCATGGCTTATTTAGGGTATAATGCAATTTACTTTTAATAATGTTTTCTCTAACTGTAACATATCCTTGATTTCCCAGAGGCTCTGAGAAGTATGAGTTCTCTGACACATCTTATTCTTCCAACATTTTGCACAAACAACCTTCTAGCTTGCATTGCTAGAAGCCAATCAAAGGTAAATTTAACCATTTTTAACAAATAATGACATTAAAGTATGATAATTTAATTTTATTGGGCTGCTGTTACGGAAAAAAAGACATCAAATAGTGTCTATAGAGAGGGACCGTCCCTTTCCGCTCAAATTCTGAACGAAAAATAAGGCTTTTTCTCCGGCCACAGTTGTCTTTGAAAAGTAAGACTATTACTAATCAACCTGCGAATAGGCTGTTTAGTTTAACATGAAATTACCCAAATAAGTGAACGGTCCCTTTAAGCTTGTTTGAAATGGTCTAAAAGCAAAACTTTTGTACTAGAACCTTTTAAAGTGAAATGTTTCTGTTTTCACTGCACAATTGTTGTGTCTCTTGTTCATCGGGCTATGTAAAGTCATAACTTGTGTTTTTTGGCTCTCACTACATACAATATATTAAATTGTTAGAAATTAATATAAGAGTAAATGCTTCAGAAATTTCCATTACATCTTAAAACATACTTTGTTTGTCTGCCTTGCGTTATGTTACGTCGTTTCGCTGATTCCGCGTAATTATTACAAAATTTCGCGAAATTACCTTGTAGAAATTACGCGAAATCATGCCGTTTGAAGCTTCGCTGATTAAGCGTAATCCTGTGAAATTACACGAAATGAAAAATATTTTGCGTAACTGTACGTAATTTCGCGTAAGTGAATAACCTATTACGTTGGAAACCCTGCCATCTGTATGTTTGTATCCCAAAGCAACAGAACATCAATTAAAAGCTAAAATGTTTACTAGGAATAATGGGCACAGCAAAGCCAACTGGTAGGCTTAGTATTTAAAAAAATCATACTTGTGAATTTATAATCGTTATTGTTGTATACTAGGAAAAAAGGCACGGCAGAGCCCACTTAGTAATCGTATATTTTAACAGTGAAAAAATTTGCATTTTATTTTGAATACAATGGGATGTTGCTCAGTGTTAAAGAGTTAAGAAAGCTATAACAATATCAGGGCTAAACGATCCTTCTAACATTATAATTTATTTTATATTACATGTTTGTACTTGTAAGAATAAGTACAGTATAAAAGGTTTAGAAAATTGAATTTATTGAACCATGGAATGTTTGTACGGGAATACCAAAAGATCTGGAATTATTTGAATAAGGCCCTTACATAAGCCTAGTGTAGTGAGCGTAACCATGTTAGTAGTTAAACAGTCTGGATCAGGTTCATCTTACAGTCTGAATAGACATTCTTCTATTGGAGCTCGCAACACACGACTTAACTACGCAACAACTCATTACCAACTGCGCAGTGTAGAAAATAAAAACGCGTGAAGAAATGTTTAGAATTATCTGGTTTATTTATTTTGCCACTGTATACGCAGCCTCACTTGGACCTTGCAAATCTGTACATGTAACAGAATGGAAGACAGAGTACATAGAAATTGGGCAGGAGAAATGTTCAGCTGTTTATGTACATCACTGTGAAACTGTGAACAAGAAGGAATGTAAGCAAGTGGAAGAAATGATCTGTACAAGTGTACAGGAAAACCAATGCAGGATTGAGCTAGAGAAAAACTGTACACATGAAGAGCGTACCGAATTTAGAAAATACAATGAGACAGTGTGTACAACTATGTACATAAAAAACTGTAACAGTTCAATAATCATGGAGGGCAACAGGGAATGTACAACTGTACCATATGAATCATGTACCGAAGTGCCAAGAGTACAAGAGGTTTTAACAATCTATCCTGTTTGTAAAAACATTCCTCATGAGAAATGTCGGGTCGTGCCAAAGCAAAAATGTGCCAAAAATATCCAAACTGTGTGTTCAGAAGTTCCATACTCAAACTGCAAACAAGATGTGCCAAAAAAGAAATGTGTATCTGTGCCAAAAAAAATGCCAAGAAGAGTGAGTTACAAGGCACTCAAAGAAATCTGCTCGGAAGATACTACTGAGCAAATTAATATTGAAAGTTTTGAAAAAATTGTAAAAATTATATAACAAAATATTTACAAAATAGAAAATTATATAAACAAATATTTACAAAAAAGAACATTAGATATAATACGCAAATTATGTATAACTGGATCTGTGATATGATTTATTATAAATAAATATTTTTCAAAACTATAATTTTAATTATGTAAGTGTTCTCAGAATTTAATGTTATTAGGGAAAGGATGAAAGGCTACAAAAGACAAGAAGAAAAAACTAATTTTATTTGAAACTATAACTAGGGCCAGGAATATGACTAGATGTCTTCCTTCTTAAGTCAAGAAATGAATGCATCAGATAGAAATTAAATTTTTATTCAGCCTCTATAATCCCTCTATAATTTTACGATATAACTTTTAAATTATGCTTATATGTCTTGTATATATGTATATGTATATCTATATATATTGTTACGCGAGCCATGCTGCGTGAAGAAAGTCTGTTTGTCGCCCCTGCGTATTTCTGAGTTTCTCCTGAAAATCTGTACGGAATGTATTGAGAAGAAACTGGTTTAGGAACTGTTTACAGTCCGACTGCGCAGACGCAAGATTTCTAGCGGAGTTATAGTTATATTTATATTCAGTATATGTTTATTCGTTTTGCAAGTATTTTCCGTGTTCAGAATTCTGGGATC